CGCGAGGGCGGGGGAAAGCCTTGAACAATGTTCCAGGAGGAAGTGCTGCTGAGGAAGCTGTGCCTATCAGGACAATCAACGTGTTCTGTTATTTTACTTCTGAATGCTACCTGTGCTTTGAAATAAATGTGCAGGAGGAGATAGCTCTGAGCTTGCTCAGCCAAGCCCACTCATCCTAGAGAGCCTGGACTGTGAAATGACCCTAAACTAAGACTGTGAATGTGATGGTTTGGTCTCAGAACAAGTATGGAGGATATGTGGGGTTGAGGCATGCCCTCTGCACAGTGTGAGGGAAGCCAAGCTATCAAGCAGCTGAGCGGGAAGACTGCTAGGATAAACTGTGGTGTTGCCCCTTCTAAAATGTGAGGAGCCAGCCACTTCATTGTGGGTAGTGTGGGTCAGAATGGAACTGCAGGTCTGAAATGACATTGGTTTAGTTCTGACCAGCCAAGCTGATGTCTGGTCTCTTCACTTCCAACCACTGACCTGTACTTTGAGAGTGAGCCAAGACCTGTGCATGAGCTGGTGAGATTGTAATAGGGCTTGGGTGCTTGCCACCAGCTGCTTCTCCAGTGCAGTGGAGAGAGGCTGCAGGACTCTTGCTCCCAAAACTATTCCTCTGGCCTTTTAGCCTGTGTCCTGCCTGTCCCCAGCACAATTGTGGCTGCAGGCAAGTTCAGCGGCTCTAATGGAAGCTGAGTGGTTCTGCTCAGTGCCTGGCTATGCCTGGAATTGAGTTTAACTGTCTGTTATTCTGAGCAACTGCCTCGCGCATGGACTGCTGTTCTGTGGGCAGTTGGACTGTGCATTGCAGCTGCTTAGAAAAGTGGGCTCCAGACTGGAAGCTGCTCTGCTTGGGCACTGATAAACACCTGTCGAATGGTTCCAGTTGCTGGTGGATGCAGGAGGTGTATCTTCAGCTTTCACGTTAGCTGAGGTGGCAAGATTCCCATGAGTCGTCTCTCTTCAGCCTAGCTGCTTTATCATACTTATCAATAGTGCAATTTAAGAGTAGCCAGGGGCAGTTTAATACAAGATTATCTAGATGCTGGATGAGAGTATTTATGTCAAAGTGGATGTGGCTCAAAGGCACAACCATGGAGGGGTTGCCTTTCCTTCCCCCTGTCCTGATCAAAGTTCACTTCTGTGCCAGTCGCACATGTTCAGGTCAGATTGGTGAGCTGCTGATTAAGAACAGGAGTTTCTGCTTCAGTCAGCCTTTGCTGTGGGGTCACATGGGAAATGCCAGTGCCATTGGCTGTGTCATATCTGTAACAGACTCCAAGCTAGACTCTGACCAGTGTGGCTCTGAACTTGGGCAAACAGATGCTAAAGAGACTTTGGAGACCGTGAGTGGATCTGAGTCTGTCTGTTCCAAGCAGCCAGCCTGACTTACTGATGGCCAAACGCTTGGGCTGCGCTGGAAGAGGTTCAGGTGAACAAGCTGTGTTTGACTTGGAGCATAGGTGCAGCTGGCTGCAAGGACTGTAGGCTGGTGTAGCAAACTCTTCCATCGCATGACTGTCTTTCAACACAGTTTGGTGGTGAGCCGATGTCATACACGCGCTTCAGCATTGCCCGGCAAATGGATGGAGACAACAGCCACGTGGAGATGAAGCTGTCTGCTGATGATGAGGAAGGAGGGGAAACTGGGAGACCAGAGCACCTGCATGCCAACATGCCTCCCCGATGGAGGAGTGGCAAGAATGTCTGCTTCCTAGTCATTGCAGCTGTCCTTCTCCTTTTGATTGGTAAGGAAGAGTGGGAGGCGACTGCATGAAGTGGGCTCTGGTATTGAGCGTATCTGAGGCTGTTCGCATTTGAATCTATTGTTTCAGGAGATAGTTAAAGAGCCTGGATCCAGGCTGGAGCCCCTTGTCACTTACTCTAAGTATGTCTAGCTCAGACTTATGGTACAGAATTAGCACAAAGAAGTGTGAAGTTTGACAGTGGAACTGTGACTTAGCTAAAGGGCAAACTGGTCCATGTGGTATGTGTACTGGTTTTCCCTTGATTAACTCTTAACACTTCTCTAGAGATGTGGATCAACATATCAGTAAAGGCTCTAGTGCTTGTCTCTCAAGGGTTTTAACACTGCCGCTGACCTAAAGTAAGCATTCTCCTTCCCTAGTGGTGCTGGAGGGACTCTGCCAAGCACAGGATCAGATTTACAGTGTACCTTAAAACATGCAAGCTCAGACAAAATGTCAGGCTGCGTATTCCTGTCTGTCCTTAGGTATGCCAGCTTGTCAAAAATGGTGTGAGAGCAGAGATGTATCTTAACCCTGAAGCTGTTTTGAATGCACTTGTATGGTGTGGGGCTGTTTTAGGCATCTGTCTGCAGCACAAAGAAATACCTGTTCTGTCTGTAGGGTTTCTGATCGGCTACTTGAGTTATCGTGGACGAATGCAGAAGGCTAGCAGGTGTCTGGATGGAAGTGGCAAGTGTGAGATGTCTCCCACCGCGTCTTACTTAGCATATGGTGGTGAAACTGAGGAAGAAGAGGAGGTTCCTGGACCACCTGTCTTCTACTGGCCTAAACTCAGAGACCTGTTGTCAGATAAGCTGTCAGACAGACATTTGGAGGACAACTTGAGGTAACAGTTCCAGAAAGCTTAGCTATAGCTATGAGAGGCACAACCTATGAGCAGAACTTGAGCTCTTTTAGAGAACAAGGGCCTTAAAGTTGTTGTAGGGTGGCATGTGGTTAAACATGGCCTTAAATGGCCCATCCAACTTGGGTTTGCAGGCTGGAGCATTACAGTGCAACCTGGTGCTGTAGCCTATTCTCATCTGTTACCTACAGGCAAAGAGCAAATTCGTACTCTTTTGAAGCTGGCCAGAGTGAAGATGAGACCCTTGCCAGTGAGATTCACGACCAGTTTGCCAGCTTCCTCTTGGATGAAGTGTGGAATGATGAGCACTACATTAGGCTGCAGGTCAAAGGCAGGTATGTTAATGAAGAGATGCAGGTCTCTTCTTTACAGCATGGATACCTGTAGTCTTGAGGAAATGCGTGATTTCTGCTGAAAGCAGTGCTAAAATTGTGAGCCAGTTACGCCTCTCTAAAGAAGGCCTCAACCTAGCCAAGCAATAGCTGCTTCTGTCTCTTCTCAGGCTTTTTAAATCCAGAGGGTCTGATAGCAGTCCCCTGGATTTTTCCTCTGACAACTGCTTCCTCAAAGCATGCCTGCCTAGGAGGTGGAGAGAAAACAGACTTGAGTGAAAACTCAGCTGAAGGGCAGATTCCCTGTGTCTAAAGCTGCTACTAGCATGGGCAACTGTCTTGTCACCCAGATGGCTGTTGCAGACCTGGCAGTGGCTCCTGTAGTAGCTCAGGAGAGTATCTATCATCAGGGATAGTGTTGGCTGACAGCTCACACCCTCACGGCTTACTTGCACCTTCATGCCAGGGGGGAAATTAATTAAGAGGGGCCTAAGAGGCTTGGAAGCAGAGATTCTTTCTGCTACTTGTCTTCAAAATTAGCCTTCGTTAATGTCTCTGAAGTTCAACCCCAGAGATTCTTGCTCAGAAGTACTGGGATGAGTCTGCCTGTTTCAGGCTATGCATTGACTTGATCAGAATTGCTAGGGCACGTACTGAAGTATGGGAGCTAGTTAAATATGGAGTTTATGTATGAAAGAACATAACACTGTTTCTTTACGTTTGACAGGAGCAATAACAGAGTGTCTATTCTGGAAAATGGTGAAGAGGAAGAACTGGAAAGTCCTGATGCATATGTGGCATACAGCAAGAGTGGCTTAGCTGTTGTAAGTGAGACTCCAAGAAGATCCTGGAAGTGTGCTTGCACGCTTACCAGGTGGCAATGTCCAAAATGTGTTCCTTCGATATGGAGTGTATAAAGCCCTCCCCAGTTAGAGAGCTGTGGGGGGTGGGGGGGAAGAATGGGGTGAGGAGTGGGCCCATGTAGTTTTATTACTTCAGAAAGATGCAGAAGTAATGGTTTAAATGTCTCTGCTGGGACCCAGACAGGCACCTTGACAGAAGTGCTGCTCCAACAGGCACATTGCACGTGATCAGAGTTTACATTGCTGAGCTTGACCTCCTCCCTACTTTTAATGGAGTCACTGTGACTCTAGGCTTTTTCAAGTATTTTACTGACATAGGACTGTTGCATTTATAACCAGTATTTCTGTTCCAGGGCAAACCAGTCTATGTGAACTATGGACTGAAAGCAGATTTTCAGAGGATACAGAGTCAGGGTGTTCCACTGAATGGGACTATAATCATCTTCAGAGCTGGAAAAATAACCCTTGCTGAGAAGGTAAGCAGTCTGTGCCCCAAAGCCTGGCCAAACTTGGCAGCAGGAAGCTGTGCTTCCTCCTCTTTGAGGCACAGAGGTGTGTGTTCATTCAGATCTCTAAAACTCATGTATGTAGGCTTGTCCCTGCAGGTCTGGTCTTGCTTGTTTGCACTGAGCCTCCATGTGCATGTCTGGACACCAAGACTGAACAGAGCTGGTTGCTGTTCATGGTGGCATTCTTCTTGGGCTCTGGCAGTCTTGCTGGGACAGCCAGGCACCTGCAGTGGTGGAGCTGGGTGGCAGAGGGAAGCAGTCTGGGGTCTACAGGGTGCAGAGCTGGGTCGTAATTGCCAGATGCAACAACAGGGCTGCTAGAAGCAGAACAGCCTTGCCTGCAGAGCACCTCTTGCTGCCGCAGCCGGTTGCTTTCACTGGTTCTCCAGTCCCCTTCCCACTGTCCAAACCAGTGTCTAGCCTTGCGAGAGTGTTTGTACTGGTGGCATATCAAAGGCAGCTGGGCTGTAGGTGTATTAAACAGGGACATGACTAGGTCACTCTGCCTCCATTTCCCATGTGAAGATAAGCCTCCTGTAGCTGCTTGTGTTGTCTTGAGACTAACCTAATCTTGGGAAAACAGATGGAGCATAATCAAAATTAAGTAACATCTTTCTTCTAAGCTGCTCCGAAGAGCAAGTATGAGCTGAAGGAATCGTAGGGTGAGACACTAATCATAGAGTGTCCTAACTCTTCAAAAGGGTGTTAGGCACGCTCTGCCTGGACTAGGACTGAGCTGCTAGTACTCAGCTTCCTTGTGTGTCTGTCACTGTCAGGTAGCTGTTAAAATCTGTTGTGGGGTTGGGCGTTGAGGAGCACAACCCTTCACACCATTACTGCATGTGCTTGCCTTAACGCCCCTTGCTTGCAGTGCAGATGAGCAGTTAATGATCCTCTTTGATTCAGGTTGCAAATGCCAAAGAGGCAGGAGCAGTTGGTGCCCTGATGTACCTGGACCCCAGTGATTACAAGATGACAGATGTGCTTGTCCCCTTCGGACATGTGAGTATGCAGCTGGCTCCCCTGTTTGTTGTACTTGTGAGCCTTTCTCACTGTAGGCTGCAGCAGTCCTTCTGCAGGCCTCTGGCTCAGCAGCCCTTCACACCCTTGTGTAGATGAAAACCGTTGGGCTCCTCTGAGACTTGAGGACTCTTCTTGCTTTTCACAGGCCCACCTTGGAACTGGAGACCCTTTCACCCCAGGCTTCCCTTCTTTCAACCACACCCAGTTCCCACCAGTGGAATCTTCTGGACTGCCTCGCATTGCTGTTCAGACTATCTCTAGCCAAGCGGCAGGGAAGCTGTTCAGGTAACTGTTTCTCCTGGCTTCCAGGCGAGGCTGCTGTGGCCCTCTTGCAGGGGTGAGGATGGTGTTGAGGTGCTGTGAGCCCGGGGAGCTCTCTGCTGGTCTCTGCTGGGTATTGCAGGGAGCACTTTCTGGAACTGGGTAGAGAAATGTTGCTTGTGTCCGTGTCTCATGTCTTAAAGACTGAACATAATCTAGTGTTGGATTCCTCTTGGCCTCTGCATTCTGCCTCTCCCTGCATAATTAGTGGTACAGGACTGCAGGCTATTTCCTGAGCAGGTCCTGAACAAGGCTGCACCTGGGGTTGCAGGCTTGCTTTTTTCACAGGATGGCTAGGTGAGGTCAGAGCTACACGAGTTCAAAGGATCTCTTTTTTTTTCTTTCTTTCTTCCTTCAGGAGAATGGTGGATGGAGATGAATGCTTTTCAGACTGGAAAAGTGGGGTCATGGGAGGATGTAAGGTGATGCCGAGAAGCACGAGCAACATGGCAGTGAAACTGAGCATAAACAATGTTATGGTGGACAGGAAGATTCTGAACATCTTTGGTGCTATCAAGGGATCTGAAGAACCAGGTAACAGCAACTGCCTTGTGTCTTAGTCTTGAGGAGAACCCTTCCTCATTTGTGATCATCAGAACATGACAGCTGCTCCCAGACAGAGACAATCACTTCCTCAGCCAAACCAAGACCCTTCCGTAAAGGTCAAGGAAAAAGCTGAACCATGCTGCCAGGGAAGGGCTAAATGAAAGCAAGCAGTGTGCTAGATTCAGGGGTCAGACTCCATGCTCTCTTCCTAGTACAGAAGTTCAAAGCTGCTTTTCTGACAAATGATGTTTGCAGCCTGAACCTTGCAGCTCAGATCTTAATGTCTCCTTTATAGATCGATACGTTGTGATCGGAGCCCAGAGAGACTCCTGGGGCCCAGGAGCAGCCAAGGCTGGTGTTGGAACTGCCATGTTGTTGGAACTTGCCCGTGTGATCTCAGAGATTGTGAAAACTGGTAAATATTTGTGTACAAAAGCATGGGGGCGGGAGGTGATGCAGGTTGAGCTCTGTCTATGTTAACATTGGAGAGCCCAGTTGCAAAAAAAAAAAAAAAAAAAAAGTACTTTGGGAATGCACTGGGAATCTGACAAAGCTTCCTGAGAAGCTCGTCCAACATAGACAACTTGTCTGCAGTGAGCACTTGCTTCTGAGGGACTGCCTGCTTGTATCTGGTCCTTGGATAACACACAATGCGTACCTCAAACTTGAGCTGTCTGTTGGGCAGCCAGGCCTGAAGGTGAGAAAACGCTGAAGTGGCTGAGCGGCTGGAGCAGTGGGGGCTGCATGGTGGCACTTGGTGTGAGTGCTCTTGTCTCCTGGGTTAGTTTTGGTCTAAGGCAGCTAAACAAAAAAGGTGGGAAATGCAGACAGCAGTTTTCCTGTGCAGTTCTGCAGTGTTGGAGGGCAGGGTACAGCGTCCACGCAGCCCCTAGTGTGCACGTTTGTTTGCAGCAGCCAGAATGCTTCAGCTTTGTCTTGAGGAGTAGGCGATTCCTCAACCCAGGCCCTCGGTGCTAATCTGTGTCTCTTGGGGGAAGGGCAGACATCTCAGTCTCTGTCTTTGCAGATGGCTACAAACCAAGGCGCAGCATCATCTTTGCAAGTTGGAGTGCAGGAGACTACGGAGCTGTGGGTGCTACTGAATGGCTGGAGGTACTGGGGGTTTTTTTATATAGACTTCTGCGTGTTGACTGCGCAGCTGTGATTTCCTGTTCCTGTGGATTAAACATCCTGGTGTCGTACTGCTACTGCTCATCTTAAAATACTTGTTTTGTTCTAGGGGTACTCTGCCACGCTGCATGCCAAAGCCTTCACTTACATTAACTTGGATGCTGCAGTCCTAGGTAACCTGCTACTCTTGAGTTTCTTGAAAGAAAAAATAGCTTGACAGACACCCCTTAACCTCGAGGAGTGGGGGCTGTGCCAGAGGTTGATGCTGGGTGTTTGGCTGAAGGCTGACACGGCTCCATTTATTCTGCCGTTGTCATTGAAGCTGCAAGGTTGCTGCAGCTTGAGCCTGAAGGAGACAGCTCTGCTAGATCCCAGCAGACTGTCCTGCGTCTAAAGATCCTTTGGCAACAAGCTGTAGATCAGTTGTTGCTCAGTCACAAGGCTGAGCAGCTCTAGCAGTAGTGGTTGATTGTGCCAGCATGTCAAACACCCTTTCTTTTTGGCAGGCTTCAACCACATGAAGATTTCTGCTAGCCCATTGCTGTACACATTGCTGGAGAGAACTATGAAGGGGGTGAGTTGAAGGGTCTTGGGCTAATCAAGGTGACTGTGGTTTTAAGGAGGAACTGAAAGCAGACGCAGCTGTGCTGGGTCGCTTTCCCCAGCTGGCACCTTCTGAGGAGAAAGCCCCATTTAGGAGAAAGGGCTGAGGTGCTCTGGAGGTGCTCTCTGAAGTCAGCTGGGCTCTGGGAATTGCAGTTCACGCATGCAGAATCTAAAATCAGCAGATGCCACAGTTCAGTGGGAGGTGAATGCATGTCCCGCATAAACTGTGCCTGTGTGGAGAAATGTCAGTCAGGTGTGCTCCCCTGACCTCTGCACAGCAGTGCAAGCTCCAGGATGGACCTAGAAGCCCAAGCAGAGGTTAGAACAAGTGCAGTGACTGTCATCTCTGTGCAGGTGAAGGACCCAACAAAGGAATCTGGAAGCCTGTATGACAGAGTTGGCTCTGACTGGGTGAAAACAATGTAAGTATTGTCATCCTGCTCTTTAGGAAAGCAGATCTCCATAAAGAAACAAACTAAATGGCTTCTGCTCTTTGTGCTGGAGTGTCATACTGCTGTCTGGGGTGGGCTGTGCCTGTTGCAATGGCATCAGGCAAGCATGAACAGTACAACGCTAGCTGTGCTTAGTGCTGCCCCAAGCTGCCTGTAGGCAGCCCAGACACCTTTCTGTAGAGAAGAACAGCCTCGTATAAAGACTGGTGGCTGGAAATGGATGACCAGCCCTTGGCACTGGGCTGGGACTCCTGGCCAAAACTAGTTTTGTCTAGACAGGGTAGTCGACTTTGACTCAGAGCTTCAACTCTAGGGCTTGCAGCTTTTCTCCTGGGATGTCCAAACCAGTTGGTAACTGCTCAATACTTGTCTTTTGCAGTGTTCCCCTTGGTCTGGATAATGCAGCGTTCCCTTTCCTGGCCTACTCAGGAATCCCAGTGGTTTCCTTCGGTTTCTGCAATGTAAGTATTGTCTACCTGCCTGGTGTACTCATTCCATGGAAGGTGCTGTAAGGATATCTCCTCTCCAGGATAGCAGAGCACAAGGTGCTGTCCCAAGCTCATTGTCCATGCAGGATCCTCTCTTGGGGAGGAGATGTAGCCTCAGGACCTGGTGGCTGTGGCAGTACTTGCTGTGAAGGCTGCTCCTGGGGCATGGTTGGCCTACAGTCTCTGTTCCAGAGTCCTGAGCACCCGTGTTTTGTTGGGAGAGGGGCCACTTACTCTTCTGGAGGCTCAGATGCCAATGATTCAAAAGCTAAAAGCTGATGCTATTTCAGTGAAAGACTGTGCTGCAGCCTGATGGGCAGCCAGCAGTGCGTGTTGGGGAAGCCGTACCACTGGCCAGAGCAAGTACTAACTCAGACTGTTCAGGTCTGCTGCTGCAGCTTAGGGCTGTCAAAAATGGCATCAGCCAAGCAGCCTGCTCTGTTACTGCAGGCATGCAGCTGGGAGCCTTTCTTGTTAACAGCTTCCTCTGCTTCTGCATGCTTGGATTTTGTAAGTGTCAGACTTGTTCCACAAAAAACCTTTGAGTTACCCTACCAAGGAAGGGTTGGAGAGTGCTACCAGCACATGCCAAACTGGGTGCTGGGGTTTGCCCACCTGCACTTCTGCAGTGAACTCTGAGTGGGGGAAAGATCTGTTAAGTCTTTGGGTCTAACAAACTATCAGAGCATCCTGCTGATCTCTGGAAACTGTGAGGGGTGAGATGCAGGAGCTGCATTCCCTTCCCCTGTGCTTTGAAGTTTTGCCACTCAAGTCTCGCTGCTTAGCAGCACAAGGAGATGGGACGTGGTGGAAATAGCAAGCAAACTAGTGGGAGGTGAAAAATCCTAACTGGAGAAGCACTCTTGCCTAACTTCAGTGCCTTCTTTCTTGCAGAAAGATGAGGAATATCCCTTCTTGGGCACTGCTCAGGACACTGTGGAGAACCTGAAGATGACTGACAAGTTGTATGCCCTTATGCGTGCTGCTGCAGAAGTTGCTGGACAAGTAGCTCTCAGGCTGACCCATGATCATGAGCTGTTCCTGGACTTTGAGAGATACAGTGAAGAATTGCTAGCGTTCCAGGAGAAGTTTTTGCCCTACAATCAGCAAGTGAAGGTAAGAAAGGCTCCAGGTGCACTGAATCCCTGTAGACTGTTATGGGCCCATGTGCTAATAAGGCTCTACAGCCATCGGATGCCACAGGGTGGACACCTTCCTCCTTTGGGCGTGAGCATGTAGCAAGATGTGACCTGAATCAATGTTCCTTATAGAGCAGTGCAGGCAGAGTAGCTGTGGCAGACGGATTTAGCTAGTCTGGCTGTGGTGAGCTCTTGAGGAAGTGGATGTGGATGGTTTCTTGTCTGGTTATCGTTCACGGCAGCTTTGCATCTCATTTGCACCTCTGCTGAAAGCCTACAAGAAACTGGGTGGGGAGAGACGTCATTGAGCTCAGTGACCTCAGAAGAGCCTGCCAGGAACTTGCTTTGCTACTTGGTTAAACTGGCAAAAAAAAACCCAACACTTTCTTTTGGTAAGAGAGCAGCAAAAGAAGAAAATCAGGTTTGCTAACAGCTCCTCCCTCACAGGAGCTGGGGCTGACCTTGAACTGGCTGTTTTTCGCCCGTGGTGACTTCCAGCGAGCTACAGATGCATTGAGAATAGACATTGCAAACAGTGACAGGGAAAACAGGATTGTCCGCAGAGCCCTGAATGACAGGATCATGAAGGTGGGTGTTGACAACTGGTTTTCCTTTCTTCACAAAGGAAGAGAGTGCTGGTTGGGATGGTCCTCTTCCTTAAGAGCCACGGGCACTGTGCAGACCGATGTCTCTTCTGCTTGCTTAGTGTCAACATGACTGACTTCTGTGCTTGCTATGGGGAGAGGGTCTGGCCCTTACAGAGCTGGTGCGGGAAGGGGCTGGGTGGGGATCAGAGGTTGGGAGCTTGGGGCAGATTAGGAAAGAAAAACTTGGGAGATGAGAGTATAACTCTAAATTTGCATCTCTATTCCAGGTGGAGTACGACTTCCTCTCCCCATACCTGTCACCAAAAGATGCTCCCTTTCGCCACATCTTCTTTGGCAGAGGCTCCCACACCCTGCAGAGTCTGCTGGAGAACCTGCAGCTGCTGAGAACCAGCAGGAGCAGCGTGGACGTGGACATGCTGAAAGAGCAGCTGGCCCTGATGACCTGGACCATTAAAGGGGCTGCCAATGCCTTAGCAGGTGATATCTGGGATACAGACAATGAATTCTAGGCACAGCAAACACCTGGTTCAGGTACAGGATTAGGGAAACCCACTCCCTAACATGGCGTTATTTTTCTGTAGATTTTCTGGCAACAAATCTTTTTTGACCAAAGTTGAGCACAAAATTTAAATCTCACCTTGACAAATTTCACAGGAGGCAGTTTTAAAGCAGGTACTAAGATTACCATGAAATCTGCTCTGACCAGGCTCCCGCCTCACCACAGTCCAAACCGGTCACGTACAGCTGCTTGTGGGGCTTGCTCTCCAGTGTACTTGAGAACTAACAGCTCAGGTGACTCCTGAACCGGTACCTTGAGTGGGGAGGTACCTCATCTATTTAGGGTTTTAATTGTTGGCCCCCTAAACCTAGTGACAAGACAGGGAATGGATTCCTCTTAGCGCTCGTAACGATGATCCCTTCTCTGGCAGGGAGCTGCAGAGACCAACCTGTAGTTCAAAAAATAGAACAACTCAGTAATAGCCCACAAGTGCTGGATTATCGGCAAGCTCTGAAGTGCCCGGCCTGCCTTTACTCAACAGCAGGGACCCAACAACGTCTTGGAGGCTTGCTTCTGCCGAGGCAGGTCTTGATACCCAGGGAAAAAGACCCAAAGATTATCTAATGCCCCCTTTATATCCTCAGCTGGCACCTCAGCGAGTCCTGCAGCATTGAGAAATGGCTCTACTCTGACACTTCAGACCTTGCTGCTCTGGGGCCTTTCATGAGATTGAGTCTTTTGCTGGCCAAACCCTGTTTGACTGATGCCATTTTGCAGTATGGCTCTTGTTTGGCACAGAGATATTTATTTGTTTATTTATTTATCAGTGACAGTGTTCACTATAAATGGTGTGTTTTTTTTATAGAAGATAATTATCGGAAGCAGTGCCTTCCATAATTATGACAGTTATACTGTCGTTTTTGAATAAAGCAGCATCTGCTACTACAATCAAACATGATACTGGAACTTTGCATTTAAAATAATCTAAACATGCCCCTCAAAAAAAAAAAAAGTTTTTTGAAAACTAGCAATTAGGTTTTCTGTGGCAAAAACACCCCTCTGGTGAAGGTGTAAACCTGGTAGCAAGTCTCTGACTTGCTTCCCAAAGCAGTCTTTGAAATGCTGAAAACCTGGGTGGAAACTCAAATACTAGAAATTTGGCTTCCCTGCGGTGTCCATGCCCCTCTGTGGGCTTCGGACTCCCACTTCGCCCCCCTTTCCTGGATGCTGTGTGCTCTCCTGGGGAGCACAGCTTCCTTCCTGGCCCCAGCCCCGGTGGAGGGGCTCACTGTGTAGCCCTAGCACCACCCACGGCAACACACGCAAACTTCTTGTACCTCAGATTAGGCATTGGCCCGGTTTTTAAATGGCAGCTTCCTGCAAACTTCCAGTACCTTATGTATCATGAAACCTAACTGACATTATCGGGGGCAGTGTCTTCCATAATGTGTAAAGAACAAGGTAGTTTTTGCCTACCACGGTGTTATATCGGAGGCAGTGACCTCCATATGTTGCACTATGGGTGTACGTAATTATCGGGGACAGTGTTTCCCATAATTGTTCTATGCTTATCATGCAATGTCATCTGCGAAGCTTGATGGTTAGTATCTAACATAGATCAATTTCCTGCAGTCCTATTTTTTTCCACTCTCCTGTGGTGATGCAGATACAAACTTCGGTCTGTTATGTACTTCCCTAGACTCTACCTTCTCCGTAGGCTGAACTGTTTCAAATAGCTGTGCTGTGTTGAAGTGGCTTCCTGCCTCCAGTCACGGGACTGGTGCTCGAATGTTTAGTGGAAACTAGTCTAGTTAGACTGTGTGCTCTGTGATTTAGTAGACTTCCTTCAAATAAGTTACAAAGACTTGGGGAATTAAAGGTGAATGTAAGGGCTTGGGGCTGATTGCTGTCTGGAGGGCTCTGGTCACCGCTGTAGATGGGTGTGCGTACTGTGTAAGAGGCTGGCCTGCTTTGGCACTGGGGTGATGCTGGTGTGCGTGCATGGCAAGCTGCTTGCTCCCCAGGTCTCTCCGGAAACTCCAGTCTTGCCTCCTGGGTGTTGTGTGGAGGGGGGGGAAATCAGTGGCACCTTTCTCACGGTGCCCCTCTGCTCCCTGACGTGAACCTGAACATGGCTGCAGCATGAGACCTGCTAAACTGTGCTGCTGGTTCCCAAAAAGCGGCTGGCTGGCTCGCACCAGCCCTCTACTCTGCAGGCAGTTTGAGCTGTCATTTAAACCTAAACCAAGCGAGTGACCCGAGCCCCAGCAGTAGTCCTTGAGGGAAAGAACATCGTTCAGCTAGAGCAGAGACCTGAGCTTCCACAAGGAATGGGCAAGGATAGGCCCCCAGCCTAGTTATTGAGCTCAGTGCTCACCAACTTGGAGGGCTGGATTTTCACCCGTCTCTCTAGAAGCCTGGTGCCCAGGCTTGTGCAACTCCTTGTTCTTCCTTAACTACCCTGCTGTCTCCCAGGCATGTGTACAGCCCTGTCTGTGTTACTGTTTTTAGTGGTACTTCTCTGGATGGCATTTAAGAGCTGCTGTCTGGGAGTCCTCACTGTAGTGTTTGCATGCATCTTGATGTCAGACTTAATCGTGTGCTCTGTAGCCAGCAGAGAAAGACAAAGCCTGTCTCCTGGCTAGGCAGCACAACCGTGACTACTGGGATGTCGGGATGCCTTGCTCGGTGCTGGCATCTGACTGGTGTGGGGTGCTAAACTCTGTTTCTGGGTTACCTTACCTGCTGCCTGCTTGAATAAAGTTTTAAAGCTTGAACACTCAACTCTTCTTGTGGGTTCTTGCAAAGCCACAATGCTGTTGTGGCCACAGGTGAGCTCGGACAGCTGGAGGGAGGCTGCTCTCCTGCCCCTACAGGCCGGGTGACTGGCAGCTTACTGATGCGCAGTAGCAGGTCCAAACTTCACTGCGCTGCTCAGCTCCCAGACCTGCCTCACCACTAGGATAATGACTCCGGCAATGGCGTCTGTGAGCCCCCTGGCCACCCCTCTCCTTTCATGGCCACGCCCTGCCTGCTGCCTCTCGGTCACAGTGTTGACCCTAAAGAACCTGCGGTGTTGGGGTGGATGGTGGGAGGAGGATGAAATGTCAGACTTCCCCCTGGCTGTGGCTTTGCAGGTCTCTGCTGGTGAGAAGATGGCTGGGCAGGGCTGTGGGTGGCTGTGTCTGTGGCCCAGGAAGCCAGAGCTGTCCCCTGCCTTGTCCGTGCCCCTCCTTGCCCCCCTGGAGCTCCTCTGGGTCAAGGTGCAGATGGGTGTTCGGTTACTGCTTGGAGCCCCAGAGAGCTCTGGCAGAGCGGGAGCTCCATCCCCAGCCCCAGAGGCCTGGTCAGGTGAGACTGTAGTGGTTTGGGGCTTTGCGTTTCCAAATGTGCTCAGCTTTTCCCCGCTGTCTTCCCTCACCCCTGGTGCCTGTCTCGCCTCCTGCTTTACAAACGTCGTATGCCTTGAAGATGCACCCACCATTTGGGGTGGGAGGCAGCTTCTCCAGGCGCCCTGCTCGCTCCTTACAGGCTGTCCCGGCATAGCTGTGGTCCCTCCTCTTCCAACAGGGATGATTTACTTGTCGGGAACTACGTCGTTTCTCTCGTCTCCCTGCCCAAAGCTGGCAGGGCTCCTCTCCCCGCAGTGGCTGCAACGCACCCCGAGAGGCAGGGCCGGGGCTGCGCGGAGCTCTGCTGCAGCCAGGCAGACCCAGCCCCGCCGGGGCGGCAGGGAAGTGGGGTGCAGCCCCTCCCCATGCACCTGGGAGCAAGAATTTGGGCTGCCCCTTGGCACTGCAGGGCAGCCCGTGCCCTGTGTCCCGTCTCTCCGCCCTGCTCCCTGCAGCGGAGCGGTCCCGGGGCCTGGCGCTGTTCCGCGGTGAGTCCGTCCGTCTGTCCATCCCCGCACCCCACTCCTCCCCCGTCCGCCGTCC